TCACCGGCCTCCTCAAGCTTGGCGTGGGTTCACGGTTTCACAAATGTAGTTACTGAGAAAATATGAGAATTAATAAGAAATGGAATGACCTTTGGAGTTCTGTCATGGCTGTACCCGCCTTCCTGTGATGTCTGCTGTGCTGCCTTCCTAATAATAACTTACCAGATACTTTGTGTCCGAGTTAATTTCTCTGAAACGACAAACATCATGTAATTTCTTCATGGTTACACCCATGAGTATTTCCTTACTTACCCTGATCTCACTGAGGGACATGTCTTCCAAGTACTGCATGCAGATGGAAGTGTATAAGGAAGTGCTTGACATATGGAGCGAACATGTGTCATGTTTCATGAAATTTGAGTAACTCAGACCCACTTCAAGCCACAAAAATTCGTAGGCTTTTCTTTTTTAAAGATGATGTCAGGGCATAGACAGGGTTGATTGCTCCCTAAGAGAGAGGGAGCTAGAGGGGGACTTCCCAGGCTGGCAGGGCAGGGCCCCAGCAGCCAGGAATGGTCCCACCATCCCCAGCCAGGGAGCAGGGCAGGCGCAGAGCTGGTGGCAACCCCAAGTCCAGATCACTAACCTGTTTGTGATTTCTAGTGTGTGCTTCTAGTTCCCACCCCAGGCCGCCACACCGTTAGTGACTTGCTAGGGACAGCATCCAGTTTCGATATTGCTTCCTTCCCTTCTGTCCTATCAGAACCTGAAAAATCTCCGAATGCCCTCTTCTTGGGAGAGCCCTGCATGGAGCTGGCAATGCCCCTGCCCCGGGAGGCCTCGGCAGGAACCGCAGGGCCATCGCCGTGACACCTGCCTTCACCTGTTTGTAACTGGCTCCTCCGCAGCGTCTCAGGGAGGTAAAGATGGCGAGGAGAGGGCAAGCAGGGGGATGTTTGCAGAGAGAAGCGCCTCCTGGGCCTGACCGATGCTGAGCTCTGCTTCATCGGGTTTGGGAGCCGGGTGTCACATGGGGCAGCCTGGCTTCCCCTGTCCCCTGCTGCCAGCCACAGCCAGACTGGGGCTGTGGCTGCAGCTCCTGGCTTGGCCAGCTACCCCTTCCCGAGCCTTTCAGCCAGAGCCCCACCTGGCCCTCCAAATGCCATCAACTTCCACGCCCCCGCACGACTAGGATGAGAGATGGGAAGGGGATATACGTTTCTTTTACTGCTATCAAAACCTAAACGAGCACACCCATCTGGAAGCCCGGGAATGGTGGAAGATGCTGCCGAGGTTCCCTGTGCTCCCTCCAGCCTCGCACAGCCGTTAACATGAACGCAAAGCGATGGAGGGGCGCTCGCTGCGTGCACCCTGCTCGCAACGCCGGCCTCCCTGACCCACAGCAGCCCCCTCCTGCCCGCTGCTCCCCAGAACACACAATGCACTGCAGCTGCATGCATCCTGGGGTGGGGGGTGCCCGCACCCTGCCCTCCCCGCCTTCCCAGGCACCTCTGGGCCAGCACTTACTCAGGGCACGAAGAGCTGAGAACAGTTTTCCTCACCAGCTCCCATTTCTTCCTTTGTGCTGAATTCACCTCAACTCACATGCACGTGAGGAGGATTTGTCACTTTGGGTTTCTCCCGAGACAGCTGGGAAGAAGCATAACTTGCCCTTCTCTGCTTGGCCAAGCTTCCAAGGGTGCTGAAAAACACTTTCTTTGCAGCTCTCGTTCTCAGTTCCCTCAGCCCCACGTGCTTGTGACAGTCCTATGGCCTCTTCTTGCAGGCAAACTTCATGCCAGGCGTGTAAATCCTCAACAGTCCTGCAGCGAAGCCCGTCAGGTATAGCGCCGTGGCTCAGCAAGGACCTCAGCAACCTTCCTTACACCTTTGGCTACACCCACAACATCAGAAGGATAAGACCGGTTGGAGAGAGTCCAGAGGAGGCCACGAAGATGCTCAGAGGGCTGGAGCACCTCTGCTATGGGGACAGGCTGAGAGAGTTGGGCTTGTTCAGCCTGGAGAAGAGAAGGCTCCGGGGAGACCTTATAGCAGCCTTCCAGTACCTGAAGGGGCTACAAGGAAGCTGGGGGGGACTTTTTACAAGGGTCTGTAGTGACAGGACAAGGGATAATGGGTTTAAATTGAAAGTGGGGAGGTTTAGATTGGATATCAGGAAGAAATTCTTCTCGGAGAGGGTGGTGAGGCACAGGAACAGGTTGCCCAGAGAAGCTGTGGATGCCCCATCCCTGGAAGTGTTCAAGGCCAGGCTGGATGAGGCTTTGAGCAACCTGGTCTAGTGGAAGGTGTCCCTGCCCATGGCAGGGGGGTTGGAACTAGATGATCTTTAAGGTCCCTTCCAACCCAAACCATTCTCTGATCCTATGATTCTTCTATCTGTGCTCTTTCCTGATTTTGCAGTATCCTACACATACTCAGGAATTAGTCATGTTCCTGCACAAAACCCCCACCGCCCCCCCCAAAAAAACCCAACCAAACCCAAAACCCCCACAAAAAACCCACCACCAAAACCCCTGAATTTCTCACAAACTGTGTGAATTTTGACTAATGACAACTTGAATTCTTTCCCATTCCTATTGAGGGCATAGAAAAATGAGCAGCGGGCACTGTCTGCTAGTGAGGGTTTTTCATTTGCCTTTTTCCTTTACCAAGACATCATATCCTTGGATGTTTGTTTGCTGCATGTATCTGCTCGATACAATAAATACATTTGCTATGAATCACTATATAAATGAAATATAATAATCTTTCAAAAATCTCATTCTCATGGGGAAGCATACAACAGCTCAAATGGTTTGAAATATTGAAAACATCTTTTAATTGTAGAATTCTATACAAACTTGGGTAGATACAGAAATGGTCACGACAAAATGTGTTCTTATTGCCTGAAATTTTTCACAGAAATAGTAACATTGATGGCAAGCTTACTGACATCCAACGTGATGAGATATCTTCAAACTTGCAAAATGAATTGACACAACAACACTCCTAAGTAGTTTGTATGTGTTTGACTGTCCTTGAAATCCTACTACTTATATACCAACCTCGAAATACAAAGAACCAAGATTAAAATTTTTAATGCACATCACATAATAATGTAAAATTAAGCACAAAATAAGATAAACAAAGTGTAATCCTCAAAATACACTATTTTTTTACCCAGGGCACTGACTTATTCCAAGAATGGTTTCCTGTATAGTTGGGTGTTAAGTGAGGCACACGTTTTGTTTTCTGCACAGGACACCAATATCTGATGGAGATACAAGAACGAATGGTAACGAACAAAAGGGAAAGAAACGTAATCACAAGTGGAACTCAAACCCCATGCCAGTATTCTTGCAGCCCTAAGCAAAGCTACACAAAAAATCTGCTACAACCACTGTTCTCAAAAAGTCCTTGGCACTTTTCCTCTGATAATCTTACTTTCTTTTCTTTTTTTTTTAAAAAATGGAGCAAATTACATTTCTGCACCTATATCATAAGGCAAAACTATAAATGCAACTACAAGGACAAGTTACCAAAAAACCCCCAAGCCAAAGGTAACTCCCACCCTCAGACCACCCCCACCGAGCTCCAAATGCTTGGTGAAATACTATCAGCCTTCCTCCTCATCACTGTCTTTCATAGTAATGCCCTGAAGTCCTCCCGCATCCGTGACTGAGACTGTGGCCTCCTCTACGGTCAGACGGCTGTGAACGGTGTCGTAGGTTTTACTGTTCAGCGTTCCCTCCAGCACGCCTTGCAACCTGAAGTCGCGGTAGGTTTTCTGTGGCAAAAAAACCCAAAACACCACATCCTGAATTGGAGTCAAGCAAGTCTGAGCAGTCTTCTGCTCTACACTGGCGGTTTCTCGCATGCCAGCCGAACAGCTTTGTTCCCTCTGCAGTCAGGGACCTATCATCTGGAGTTTGGTAACAATTCCGTGGCCTTAGTTTCTGGGCTGCATGTGTTTCTGTAGCTGTATGCTGACTTCTCAGAAACTTACAATTGTCTTATTTTTTCAATAAGAAACCAACAAAACATTTTTCTAACTGCATATTGAAACGTGAATTTGGCTACAGGTAGTTCTGTCATTTTTTTTTTTTTCCCTCTAATATGATTTTATTGTCAGTTATCCTTACATTTATATGCCAAATGCAGAAAGACGAAATCAATTTTAGACTATGATCTATATTCTATAATGTAAAGGTTTTTCAGGTGACAACTTCAGCCAGGTAATTTCCATTCTAAGTCATCTACATTCTGACTCATGTCTACATCTGCTTCTTTATTTTCCATCTGACAAAGTTTTATTCCCCTGGTATCCAGCCTTTCTATAAGTCAGCAGATATGACACTCTTCTTTGACTTTCTATCAAGTAAGAATTCTGAGTGGAATTGTTTTACTCATTGATGCTATGTTAAGTGAGCATAAGGAAAATCTACTACTCTACCTTCTTTAAGTTGTAACATACTTGAAATAATCTTTCCTGAAGCCAGCCTAAAAGTCTTAAGAAGGACAAGTTGATCTAGGTAGTTTCTCATTTTGTATACTCTGTTACTACAAGTTCCCAATGTGTACGGAAGAGACTATAGGAAAAAGAAAATGGAAAATAATTAAGGGCTATTAGGCCCATTCCTCTTCCAGAGGAGATCATGCACAACCCTTAGACAACGAAAAGAGAAAAGAGCTGATCTTGCTTCACTCAATACTTTAGAGAACTGCAAAAGACACCTCTCAAAATGGGTAACATTCAGCTGGGAGAGTTTTTCTGTCACTATCTATGATGATTATTTAAACCTTGCCTGAATCACTGCAACTGAGATTTATTTGACTTTCATAGGTCAACGTCAGAGTCAATGGATGCAGTTTATATTTTGCTCACACATTCCTGTGAGTACCCTGCCTGGTCTTTTTCAAGTGTCACCATTGCATTCCCTTTTTATAACACTGTGCATTCAATTTCCTTTTATGCTGTTAAAAGGTACTACAGAAATTTCTTTCAGTTTTACATTGTATTCCTCCCATTCTGAGACCAGCACTCCGGGTTTCAGTCATTGCTCTTCTCTTGACATACTTTTGCAGGATAATAATGTTCACTTCCTAGCTTAATTTTTCATTTCTCCCTAACTTTTCTCGTGGTCCTTGACCCTTCTTTAGTCACGTCCCTCTGCACGTGTCTCAGACATTTAATGACACCTTTATGCCATCATCCCTCAGTCTTGGCTTTAATGGGAACAACCAGTGTTTTCTTCTTCTGGTCATACTTACTAATGCCACTACCTTTGCTGCATCCAAACATGAAATCATCATCTATTTCTAACTTATCCCATGTCCCTTAAAGAAATGACCTCCTACTTCTGTTCTGGAATATTTCCAAGAGATGATAGGGACAACACAGCCTTCCTGTTTTTCCGAAAGCGAACAGAGAAGCGTCTCCATTCACTCTAGAGTCTGGAGGAACTGTGCCTCCCCATGTGCCTCTCCCCAGCTGGGCTGTGGCAGTGAAAGTTTCTTATGATACTCCACTTGAACCATTGTTTGTTATTCCCAGCAGCCTCCTGTTGGATAAGTTCCTGTTTTTCCAGTTCTGCCATCTTCACCCACCAAAACACCGGTGGACATTTTCTTTCTTCCAGTACATTGACCTCTAGGACTGAAGTAATCTTCAGTCTTCTGTATCCACAGAAGGAGCCATGGAATAACACACTTGGAATTGATGTGCGAAGCAGACCAGCTGTACGGGCACGGAAAGGCTGCCACCCTAACCAGTGTGTTCCCATCGCTACCAGAGCCTTTTGAACAGGCCTAACCAGTGTACCAGGCTGCAGGAGGAAGGCTGGTTGACAGTGCTTCTCATTCACATAAACTTCACTTTTACAAAAGGCTCTTCCTTTAATCTCCTGGGTGATATTTAACTGGTATAAATTAGTCTGCCCATTCTTAGATCTCACTGGGCACAGTTTTCAGATCCTGTAACACTTCTTTTCCCCCAGAGGATGATTACCTTCACTTGAGAAGAGTGAAGCTTTAAACCTTTCACGAGAGCCATTTATTTCAACCACAAATAGCAAATGCTTCTGCCATTCTGGCACGTAATATAATGAAGAGCCAAATCCTGTACTCAGAGAAATCAATCAGTCAAGGTCAAAAATAGCAAAGCTTGGGTGGTTCAGAGAACCATGAAGACATTATGATGTCTGTTTTCTTGCATTTCTCTTTTTTCATTTTAACTACTGAATCCTGAAAGTTTCAATTCTAGTGTTCATGAGTTAAAATGCTTCTGATTTTACTGTTTTGCATGAACTTCAGGAGAAAATATTTTGAAGAAATCAAGGTTACCATTAACAACAGGTGCTTCTTAATCCACATCTATAGAGATATCAAGAATGTCCAGAGTTAAACAAGACAGAATTAAGAGGAATGAAATTTGAAATGGCTTTCCATCTCTTGCCTAAGGGTATTAACCGAGATCTGAAATGGACCTAGCAAGAAATTTTCTTTTATGGAAGGTTAACCGATAATTGCCTTGCAAGGTATTTTTTACACTTTGCTCAGAAGCCTCTGACATCGGCCAGTGTAAATGCCCGAGGAATGGACTGGAGGGATTAGTTTTCTATTGATACTTATCCCAGAGCATGAAAGATTAGAAAATGTTTGAATATGGTTTTGCAATTGAACCTAGTAATCACATGTGCATAAGAAAGAGAAAATAGTTACTTTTGAAGCGAGTGGGGAAAAAAGTGGAGAAAGAATGCTGTTGTAATTATTAAGTTAAAACAGGAAAAAAAAATCGGTAATATGACAAACAATAATTTATTAGGGATACCGTACAACTTTGCTGTATGGGTAGCAGTAATCTGTTAAAATTCCTTGGAACAAATGTAATTGTCACTGAGTCCAGAATGGATGACAATTACTAGCGCACATATAATTAATAACAGAGGTTTTAATAAACTGTTTTTCCTCTGAAATTTGCAACTACTTTGGAAAAAAGAACTTCCACCCCCAAACTACATAAGTTTGTAATTTTATTTGATATTTTTTAACTTTTAGGGATCTATCCATGTTCATACTTCCCTTCTCCCTCTTCACTCTGCAGTCTAAACGCATGTTTTATTTACCTTCACTATCTTGATGAGAGTCTTCAACTGGTAGATGTGAAGTTGAAGGTCTAATCTATCAGCCAACCACATGCATATGACTTTCATGGAGCTGCTGTACCATTGCTGAAAAGAAGGATAAAAAAAAATAAAATACAAAACACCACCAAACAACCCTGCAGTATTCATTTAACAGATTTGGTAATGAGAGGTAATGAAACACTTTGAAATGATCACAGATCAGCACTTGAAGTCAACAATGATATAATTTCCTGTTAAGAGAATTGCATGGGTCAGTAGGAAATCAAATAACTTGACCTAGACTGTTCTTTACATGAATTAGCAACTGCCATTTTATCTCTCCGTTACAACATTTTGAAGCAAAATAGCGTTACGCACTTTGCTGTCAGGAAGGATGGATATTAAATACACAATTACACGAGAGAATTGACAGCTAAAACAGCAAGGGAAAAAGCACACGTAGGGTGTCTTGAGAGAGATTTTGCAATACTGAGATTTTCCAGCCCAAAGAGGGAAAACAGCATCAAACATAGGATGTGGAATCTGTCTTGCCTTTTTTTTTTTTTTAAAAATCACTTCTTTATTAAGTACAAAAATTCAGAAATCCATGGAAACTGTATTTAAGTACCATCAAAACAGGTTTTGCTTTATGTTAATTACTAATTATAATTACAGCCTACCTTACTTCCTTTTTGTGTCTTAGGCAAGGGCATGTTTTCCCTCAAAGCTGCACAAATGGGTGGGGTAAGAATAAGCTCTCTGCTGTTGGTGTCTATGTTACCGTAAAAAAATGCTCCGATCCAAGGAGCTACTATAATAGTTCTTTCACATTAACTGGATTAAAAGAGATTTTACTAAACATAGTTGTAGCAGTTTTCCTCCCCCTCCTGTAAAATACCATCCAGATGCCACTTAGTCAAACTGTAAAAAGGAAGGGTTTGGGTTTTTTGGTTTTTTATTTTAGCAATGAGAGATTGAAAGGGTTTGTGTGGTAGCTCTGTTTCTAGTCTCTTTCCCCACAGGGAAGAGGCTTAAATTATTTTCTAACGTAATTTTCTGCGTCTTTACAAAATACCCAGATATGCAAAGAGAGGACACAGCACACATATTTGAAAACGCACATCGTGAAGCAATTCAAAGGAAGGCTCTAACATGTCTCATGAGCCATCTCCACACTGATAGATAAGAGAAGAAATGTATTGAAAAAATGAAGAAAAATTACTGGCTACTGGATGTAACACAAGACAGCAATATAATTCTTTAACAGAATTAGGTCTCTGGCAAAAGCTTTAAATACACACAGTAATTATAGGTAAATACTTTTTTCCTTACAGGTCTCATCTCATTGTAAATATCAGTCTTAAGATAACTTTGAAATAAGAAGTGGGATTATCATCTAGTAATGACTTCCATTTATTTTGTTTCGTGTGTTAAAATGTATTTTAATTATAAATCATCGGAAATAAATTACTTTTACCTTTTTTTAGAGTTTCTCCAATTAACTTACTGTTTTACAGAAGTGAGCAAACACACCACAGAAAATGCAGGTAGCTGCACATTTCACAGAAGTAGTTTGATTTATTCAATAAAATGTGGGACTGATTTGGTGTCCATAAAATCCTGGGTTTTTATCACTGCATGAGATTTGTATGTTTTTTACATGCTTTCACCCCAAACATGCATGCTTATTTTGATTTCCTTTATAAGTACCTGTAAAATATTTTTAATGTGAAGAGTTGTTACTAAGTGGCAGCTGTAAACTGTATGACGGGCGTTGTATGTATACAGATGTCTAGAAAATAAAATACACCTGAGCATATTCACTCGGGGAACGCTTTTGATCTAATAAACATAAAAATTCATATGTCAAGCGTTGTCCCCAGAACACCTATTGTTATTTGCAGTAAGATGAGCCCAATTATTATGTATCACTTAGACTCTACAGTTGTTAATCTTCAATATAATCATGGCAGAGAGAATGATTTTATTAGCAGAGTTTTCTCAAAACTGGTACTTTTCCGTAAAGAAATATCCAGTAACACGTCCAGACGTATTTGGTTTGTATCAAGTAGAAAGTAGAAGGGGCTCAAACTTGCTCACATGAACAAACTACAGACAGGATCAAAAATTCTGTGAGCGGTTTTCCCATGCAACAACACTGAATGATGCCGGATAACTGAGAACTGACCCCGTCCCAGTTTACTGGCAAAACATGGGTTTTAAAGCCCAGCCAGATAACTTAATTAAGATGGATGCAGTAAAAATTAGATTCACCATACATACCTGTGATATGCTTACATGCACTGAAAACAAAGCTAAGAAATTTGAGGGAATTAATTTCGCTGCTCAAATTTGTGAATGGAAACAATATAAGATGCTTTCCTGACTAGTTTTAATATGTTAAACTTTCAGTAGAAATGTTTAATTTCGTGATTGTGAAGTGACACTATGGTACTTGCTCCTCTGTCACCATACATTCTTCGTAAAGAATATGACTGCTACTGAGATAGAAAAAGACATATTCTATTTTAGAATCATCACCGTATTTTTAATAACACTCACATCCAGTATATTTTTAGTGTCCTCCCAGAGGTACTTATGGATAACCTTCCTGTTCACTATTGGCCTTGTATCCACAAGTTTCGAGCACCTAGTATAGGCTGAAGCTGCGTAAACATAAATCCGCTGGGCTTCGTAAGAAGAAAAGTAAATATTTCCCTATCACTCCTTTTGGAGCCTGTTAAAATGCACAGCGCTGCAAATGCCTCTCAGAGGTGGAATCCAAGGCCACACATTTTGACAACCGTGAGCATGTTGCCGAGGCAGGGATGCATCTACTGTGACTTATGGGAATCTACTGCAAAGTCCAAAGCTTCAGCGGTTAGATAATGGTCCTGAGATAACACAGTATTTAAGTAATAACAATTAAAAAAAAAAATATCCTTGTAACTGCTTTTAACTTTCCCGCTACTAACAGCAGCACTGAAAGGACAATGCGACTCTTGCTGATGTCAATGACACGGTATTAGTGCCATATTCTTTGCTGCTGTCTATGCAAGAATAAAGCAGTAAGTATTTATTATATATTTTTTTCACATCAGCACGTAACAGCAGCCAACCACTTTAACAAAAATACGTTTGCCTCCCTGTTTGCCCCCCTCTTCTTATTCATAGCTCATCCAGCTCCTGTAAGGGCATGCATTACTCACTTCATTTTCCTGAGATACCTCTTTTAAAGTAAAAAATAAGAGAAAAGGAAAGGCTAGGGTTGACTCTGTGAGACCCCTGTATTTATTCACACTTATTGTGCATGACTGTAGACTGGTAAATCATATTAGCAGCCCGTCTCCCCATCAAGCTGCTACTTGCTTTCCAGCCCTGGGAAGGTTCAACAAATCAACAGGAGCACGGAAAACAGAACATCAGTCTAATCTAGTGTTTAAGGTGAAGTTTTCAAACCCAATCTAAGAAGATCTTTAGAGCAAGCAACAAGCTGAAGG